GGATATGGGATGGGATTGGATGGATGGGAGGGGATGGGGTGGATGGGATGGGGTGGGATGGATGGGATGGGGTGGGATGGATGGGGTAGGATATGGGAGAGGATGGGAAGAGATGGGATGGATGGGATAGGATATGGGGTGGGATAGGATGGGTGGGATGGGATGGAATGGGATGGGATGAGATGAGGCTCACTATGGAGAAGCTGTGGGCAGCAGGGGTAGAAGCAGGAAACCTGGTCAGGAGGGTACTGAGTCACTTGGGTAAGAGATAGTGGTGGCTCAGAGCAGGGTGGTGGCAATGAGGTGCCGAGTGGAGGTTCAGTTCTGGATGTGTTTGGAAGGTGGAACCAAAGGATTTGGGATGAACTAGATATGAGGTGTGGGAGAAGGAGAAGTGTCAAGGGTGACATCAGGTTCGGGCCTGAGCCTTTGGGAGCCAGGTTTGCAATGTACTGATCTGGAAAGACTGTGAGGGAAGTAGGTTCTTGAGGGAAACGGGTTGGAAGTCCAGAATCTCATTTTGACCATGGGAAATTCGAGATGCCTATTTGTAATTAGTTGGATATGCGGGTTTAGTTTAGGGAAGAGGTCCATGGTAGGCATAAAATGTGGGAGTTGCCAACAGAAGCTAGGGGACTGGATGAGGTCTCCAAGGGAGGGAGTGTGGAAGGAAAGGGGCCAAGGCCCCGGGGCTGAGCCACAGGCACTCAAAATCTGGAAGTCAGGAAAGAGAAGGACCAGCAGAGGAGTCCAGAAGGAGCAGCCAGCAGGGTGGGAGGAGGGCCGGGAGGCTGAGGCTGGAGGAAGGGGTTAACTTGCCAGATGCCACTGATGAGGCAGGTAAGATGCAGTTTGCGGGTGCATGACTGGATCCAGCATTGTGGAGCTCATCGGTGACCTTGACTCAGCCTGGAGATGGGGCACAGGCGAGGCTTCTTAGGTGGGGTTGGGCTGGGCTGAGCCAGGCAGAGAGAGCTCCACACTTCTGCTCATCCCTCTCTTAAAAGGAAAGTGGGTTAGGCCGGAAGTACACGCCAGTCATTTGGCAATTCCAGACATGTCCTGGAGGCATCCCCACTCACCTCCCTGGAGTTCTGCCAAGAACCTCAATGGGCACTTCTGTCTCCTCAGAGGGATGCCTGACACATGCTCATTAAGGACATTCATGTGTTTGGAGTCACGGGCTTCACCCAGGGGGACAGCAAGGTCCCTAAAGCAGAGCTCTGGCTACGGACTCCAGCATACAGAGGTCCCATGGGGATCAGGTCTCCAAAAGCCAGATTGGGTGGCCTGGGGTATCTTCAAGGTTGATGACAGTAGTGAGATCCATAAGCACTTCCTGGGCCTCTGATGTGCGAAGCAGCGTGGGGGCATGCCTGCATCACTGCCTTTTCTTCCCACTTTGTAGCCAAGAAGGGTTGGAGAGGTGATGTATCTTGTCCACAGCCTCCCACCAAGAGGGATCTGGGATTCGAACCCAGATCTGGGGATTCTCAATTAGTGCCTCTGCCTGTGGCCTCAGGGACCTACTGAAGGGAATTTGGAACTCTTTCCCAGAGGCCTCATGGGTCATATCCTAACGGGGAGGTGCTGAGACTCGTTGCCCAGAGCAAGGGAAGGAGGTCTGGCCTATGGCCAGCCCCTGATCAGGCCCAGGAGCCCCAGAGCTGTTCTCTGTCAGGCCAGCAGGCCAGTGTGACAGGAAGAACCCCCATTGTCAGCCTGCTCGCTAAAAGAGGCACAGATAGGCAAGGCGTATGTAAGATGACCTAGGCCCTGTGGGTTCTTTGTCCTTTTGAGGGGCTGAGGCTTCTCATCACAGACCCTACCCTCTGGGAACTCAAGACCCATGCAGGGTAGCCAATAATCACTTCCTGGCCATCCTCCATGTACCATGGGAGTAGAGCAGGATCCAGGTTACAGGGGCCAAAGTGGAAGGTAGGGAGGGCTTCCTGCAGCTTCTGGGAAACTAGCGAGCTGAGGAGACACCTGACACAGTGAGGGACATGGGCCCCCGAGCAGACTGTGTTTCCTTAGGCCTTTGCAAATGTGCGGGATGTGTCCACCCTGCCCAGCAATGCCTCTGCCAAAGTCTGGGTTGAGCCAGCCCTCTACTGCCCCCTAGCTCAGTGGCCTGACCTGGTGAAGGGGGAAACTGAGGCCCAGAAGGGCAACACTAGCCTGAGGTCACACAGCTGACTGCTGAAAGTGTTTCTAGGGATGAGGGGTGGTGCCAGCAGCCTGGCTTGACGGGACCTCCCTGTCCCCCTCCCCGAATCAGACTCTGCACCTTCCACCCACACGCACCGAGGGCAGTTGGCTCTTTCCACCAACATGACCTCCACCGTCCACCCTTGCGACCTCCACGGTCGGCCACTGCCTCCCAAAAATAGGTCAGCGCGCACCGCAACAGCCAGAAGAACAATGGCCCTTTCTTCGTTCCTCCACGGAGCTGAGTAAGCCCCATCAGGCCAAACATCTTAATGTGATAAAAGCCACCCGGTGTGGGCTGAGGGAAGAGGGGCGGGAGGAGACTGAAGGGGGGCTTCCTGGTGGGGGACTCACATCCTCACCCACCTGTGCTGGCGCTGTGGCCCTGCGAGGACCCACTGGGTGGGTGGGAATGTGGAGACCCTGGAACCTGCATTTCCCCGGCCCACTGTCAGCAGACATCTGACCAGGCGCATGGTAGTCTCTCCCTGCCCAGCCCATGCTCCCCACTTCCTGCCCCTCCGCCTCTTTCTCGAGAGCAGGCTTCCCCAAGGTCTGGGCTCGTCCACTACTGTGTCCTGAGGCCAGCAAAGCTGATCCTGCTGGGCCTGAACACAAGGGCTGAGAAGGGAGGCCTGAACCCACCACCACTGGGAGGGCTGGGCAGGCACCCCTGCCATATCCCTCACAGCTCTGTGGTCCCTTCGCCATGCCTCCTGGAATCATTCAGATGCTGGAGGCCCCACCCCTGCCCCCAGCGTCCTCCTCCTTGTCCTCTACCGCCCACCCAAGCCCACAGCCCCTGTGGATCCTTGCAGAGCCCCACCCAGCCCATGTGGTGCCCAGAGCAGCCAGTGGACTTCAGTGGGTTTTCTGCCACCTTCCAGCACAAACCCGGGGGAAGGTGCTAGAGGTTGTCCAGGCCCACAGGGAGAAGCCCGCAAAGACCTCAGAGGCACCAACTGACACACGTGTTCCGTTGAGCCATGTGGGGAGAAGTCCTGCACTGTAGGCTGAGGCCATGTGTCCAAACAAAATGATCCCCTGGCCCATCCCCCAGGGCCAGCATTGGAGTCTCCCGCTACGGAGCACAGGCTAGTGATGTGTCCCTTTTCAGACCCCAGCTTTAGAGGACAAGATGCCAGGTGTAGCTTCCCAAGGGCTATGCCCATGAGGCCCTACTGTGCTGAACTGTATAGAACGCTGGGGTCCCCATGGGCTGGGTTGCTCGGGTCCCTGGATGTCCCCAGCCTGAATGCACCCAGCAACTTCCAAGGCCACCCAGCCCCCGCTGGCTTCCAACCTCACTGGCTTTTGGCAAATCCCACTCCACCAGGTCCTGAGAACAGAGGCCCTGCTGCTGGATAGAGCGAACTCAAAGACCCTTTAGAAAGCTGACCCAGGCCCCAGGCCCCCCGGGTAGATAAGGGAGGCGGCTCCTCTCCCCCTGGAAGCTGGCTGAGGGCACAGCTTACCTCTGGGGGCTGGGGGACAGGAATTGTTTCGTCCTTATCTGGATGTATTTAGGGCTCCTGGGATGTGACTGGAAAACCAAGTGGGGCACCGTGGCCGTCCAGACTGGAAATCTGTGTCGGCCGGGGGCGGGGTGGGGGGTAGCACCGTGGACAAGGAATGCATGCAGATTGGTGGCCACAGCTGTGTCCTTGGCCAGACCCGCCTGTGGGCCTGGCAGGTGGAACAGGCAGGCTCTGCCCTGATGGGTGTGCACTGTCCCACAGGACCTGGCAGGTGGGGGTGATCCTGTTGAGGGGCTGAGCCCCAGCTCCTAGCAGGGTTGCTTTTTTATTCTTGTGGCCTGCGCATTCTGGGATTATTTCCTCTTGGGCAGGCCTTTGTGCAAATCACCAGTGATGTGACCTAATTTATTTGCACAGATGGTGAGACCCAGGTCACCCAGAACGTTGCCCTTTTTGCCCTAACTGCCAGGGAGCTCACAGCTCAGTGGGTATTCAGAGCCTTGTTCATCCTGAGAACCTGCTCTGCAGACCACAGCTTGGCCCTCTGAGCATTTTGATTGAGTGTTCCCAGACACCATGAATCAACAGAGCACCCCCTGACACCTACCACACTCCGCAAGACTCAGAGTCATCCCCAAGGACAGGGCAGGCTTCTGTGACCAAGGCAGATTCCACTGGCCTCTGAGCCTCAGAGGCTGGCCACTCCCCTCCTCTTCCAGGAGAGTCGAGTAGAGAAAGCTGCCCCACTTCACAGATGAGAAAATCAGTCTTTCAGGCCAAGGTATTGGTGCCACTTTGGACATCAGGCCTTTCACTCATCCATTAGTTTACTCAACAGCTGTGTATTGAGCACTTACTACATACCGGGAGTTGGAGGTGAACCCAAGCAGGTACGGCTGCAGAGAGTACACAGAACCACGCCAAAAATGCTAGGTACATCTGGATACAGCTGTAAGTGAGCAGAGGGCTTCCTAGATTCCTTGCCGAATCCTCACGATAGCCTCTTGTACAGACGGATCTTGAAAGGTGACCTGAGCGCCAGCTGGGCTTTCCCCTGGGATTAGAGCAGCGACTCCTCTTTGCAGCCAGTAGGCTGTCTCAAGGGAGAGGCGGTCTGTGTCCAGACCCCAGGTTGGCCGGGTCTCTGCCAGCCTGCCCTTGCCCACCCGATTCCTTCAGCGATGGCTGCTGACCAACCCCCGGTCCTGAAAGTGCACCAGTTCTTCCCCCTCACCCCGCCGGCCCTTGCCCAGGACCTGACACATTTTAACAGTGCCGGGAAACAAGGTCTCTTCAGAGTCTTTGTCCGCAGTCTGGGCCTTAGGTCAGGGACGAGCCCAGGGAGCAGGTTTTCCTTTAAGGAAAGGGGAGAGAGAAGATAAAGAAAGTACGGGACAAGGTCTGGGGAAGGACAGGACTGTGACATGGGAGGAGGACCCCAAACCGGCATGGTCAAGGAGGGCTTCGTGGAGGTGGTGCCACTCCCCGAGCTACTCCATGAGTTTGGACTTTGGCCAATGGGAAAGTAGCAGGACAGTGTCATGGTCAAGGTCTTGCTTTAGGAGGCCAGCTCTAGCCAGCAGGTTGGAGGCTGACAAGTCTGGAGGCTTTGGCCAGGGCCAAGGGGCTGAGCCTGGGCCCTGTGGGGATGCACAGGAAGGCTGCCAGTCTGCCACCGCTCGGGTGATGGAGCTTCCTTGCCTGTGCTTCCCCGCCTGGTGGGAGTAAATGGGGTGGGGGTGGGGGGTGCAGAAGAACTCAGAACAGGACTCATCCCTGAATTGCAAGGACAAGGCCAGGGCCTGGAGAAGGGGGGATAATGAGCCCAGAGTGGGGATTGCAAGGTCTGAGGTGCCCAGTGGCATCCATTTGCTTCCAGGCTCACCTTCCCCCTCCTCCTTCTCCAGGGAGCAGCCCAGGCTCCCTTCCTCACTGTAGCATCTGGAAGCCTGAGGAGAAGGCTGGGCTAAGGGGACCCCAGACCTGATGCCTCCCCATCTCTCCCGACCCCAGGGAACATCATCGGTTCGGGCATTTTCATCTCCCCCAAGGGGGTCCTGGAGCACTCGGGCTCTGTGGGTCTGGCCCTCTTCGTCTGGATCCTGGGTGGAGGCGTCACTGCCCTGGGTTCCCTCTGTTACGCGGAGCTGGGAGTTGCCATCCCCAAGTCTGGCGGGGACTATGCCTATGTCACCGAGATCTTCGGGGGCCTGGCTGGGTGAGTCTGGGGCACCCGTGGGGTCAGTGGGGTAGGGCATGACAATCCGGAATGGATGGCCAGTGGGGCCCTGGACTTTGGTTTCCTCTTTTTCTCATATCTCAGGGAGATCATGGGGTGGATGGAGGGAAGGAGGTGGGGGTGTTGGGGAGCCTTCCAAGGCCACGGTGGGCAGGACACTCCGGCTGGCCCCCTGACCTCTCTGTGCTTCCTTTCAAATATTTCCTTAAGCCTAATCTGCACCTGGGTGAGGCTAGCAATAAGGCAAAGACAGCCTAGATTTTAGTAAACCCATATGTGTGTGGTGGGGGACAGGGGGCATGATAACTCCTATCAATGCCCTGCAAGAGCTCTCCTTTGAAGAGCTCCCCAGCATTCCTTTATGCACCAGTAAGCATTAGCTGAGCACCTACTATGTGCTGAGGACCAGGGAGAAAAGATCCATTCCTGCCCTCAAGTTATTCACAGTGCAGAAGGGAAAGAGCCCCTCTACACTTGATGAGGACCTAGATCCTTGCTTTGAGGGTGTGCTTGGGGGGCCCAGCAGCTAAGGGAATGGGTGTCACCACCTCAGAAGGTTTCCAGGGAAAACACATTTGCACCAAGGCTTGGAGGGTGTGCTTGACTATCTGGTGTGGCCAGAGGCAGGTCAGATCCATGGTAGGTGTGGGGGCTTGGAGGCGCTGGGGGAGCCTGGGGGCGGGGTGGGGGGTCAAAGCTATTGTAGTTGTCCAGCTGAACCATACTGAGGGCCTGAATAAAGGCATAGGAATATCCCAGAACCTTGTAGGAGCTTAAATGCGGAAGACGCGGTGGCCAGTGTGGCATGAGGGAGAGGTGGGTACAGCAGAGGTGACACCCGCTTTCCCACTGGTGGGCTCCATTGACAGCAGTTCCCGGGAGGGGGAGGTTGGGGGTAGGCTGCCACGCTGGTGGGGTCTGCGGCATATCCGGGGAGATGATGTAGTCAGGCCTTGCGGGGCAGTTGTCCGGATCCCAGAGGAAAAGTCTAGGCTAAAGTGTGCAAAATTTGGTCCTGAGGGATGTGGTCCAGAGCCTTTAATGGGGTAGTGGCAGACAGGGCCCTGGCAGGGCGTGCACACCCCTGTGGGTGTGCCCATGAGTTCTCTGCTCTGGGGAGAGGGTTCTTGGAGGCAACTGGGAGCTGAGAAAGCAGAAGAAGTTGGGCGGGAGAGGAGGACCCAAGACCCTGCCCCAGGGGCACCTAGCTTCTAGGGTTGCAGACGCCACAGAGTAAAGGTGAGGACCAAGACGAATCTACAGAGCATGGTGGTCCAGAGGTCAGTGGTGTCCCTGGATGAGGCAGTCCCCACCCTCAAGGTCCAGGAGCATCCCCAGAGACAGGCCCTCCCCTGAGTGCAGGCAGGGCCCCCCCCCCCCCCCGGAATAGGTTGGGCCTCATAGCCTGAGCAGAGTCCCTGCTCCCATGTGGGCACCCTGCGGTGCTGAGATTCGGGCAGAAGGGACATAAATCGTTCCCAACCCCCAGCCACAGCTCCTCGGAAGGTCCGGTCCCTCAGGGGTCACAGCTCAGAGCCAGCTACCTGCAGCCATAGGCTCTGCTGAGAGCTCCAGCTGGAGCCGTAACTAAAGGTTCCAGAACAGCTCCGGCTCAGGAAAACAGCCTGTGACCAGAGGCTAGATGGCCATTAGAAAGGTGGTTGGTTCCCAAGTCCTTCTGGACACCTGCCCAAGGGCAGCCCATAGCTGTTTAACTGTGCTGAATGCTGTCTCTGTTGAAGCGGTCCATTAATAGAGTGGAGACCCCAGTGGGGCCAGCCCTGCCTTCCTGGACCGAAGCCGGCATTGAGTGCCCGTGCCAGCCTTGGGTGCCACGGCCCAGGGTGCAGCCCTGCTCCCACACCTGCACCTGCTCGGCCAAGGTGGCGGGGAGGCGGGGTGGTGCGGGATGCCTGTGCCAGGCAGGCCCTCACTCATTCCAGCTTCCTGCTGCTCTGGAGTGCGGTCCTCATCATGTACCC